AGATAATTCCCCAAGTCAAAAATTTAGTATGTTGGCAACACAAGCCTTTTCTACATAAAAAATTTGAAAGCATTGACAGTTCTACATTGTATTGCCAACATAATGTCATTTTGACTTTTATCTTTAAAAAAAAAAACAGATTTTATTCCTTTTAAGAGTTTGAAACACTCGAGTTACTCCCTCCGGTGTTCAGTCGCCCCCGATTTGCAGGGAACAGATGCGTGGTGCAACAAACACTTTTCAAAAGGAATAGGGGCGTGAAGCCCCGGAGCTCCTCCTAGGTGTGATGGTGTGGAAGGAATACAACTATAGTCTGTCTCCACCAATTTAGCGGGTGTACGTCCCCCCGGAATGCACTGTTGTGGTTTCCAACATTTATTTATTTTTCAAGAGTAGAATCTGTGGTAGAATGCTGCCAATGCCGTGCTAATTCTTGTTCGTAAATCCAGGTTCAAGGAAACACGATGGTTTGATTATGAAAAGTGTTTTTATTTTAATTTGAACGAAAAACGACTATTTACAACTATTTACAGAAAACAGGTAACAAATTCTGAAGAACATTGCATATTTAAATAAGTATATGGAACGTTCACTTTAACGCAAATAATTGGTTAATTAACAGCAATTAAACAATAGAAAACTGAAGAGAAAGAAAAGGTTGATTTCAGGCGCACGATCGGGCCATTTGGAGAAAAGAAAAAAGCGGTACAAAACAACCCTTGCAATTCGTTACGATCTCTGACTAAAAGTGAGAACTCAAGGCAAACAAAAAACTTCGACTTCGTAGGTACTCTCCACCTCCAGTCTTGACCTACTTTTGCGATGCGCTTGGGCATACGCACGTTCCCTTGAAAATCGGGTAGAAACGTAGAAACAGCAGATTATAGTAGGAATAAAAATATAAAGAAATTTAACTTTAAATGCAGCGGCGGCGGCAGCGGGTTGAAATGAAATTTCAACATGCACATTTAAAGCTAGGTTCGTCTTGCACACTCCGTGCACTTCGAGTGACTCCGTTCGCACTCCAGCCGTTGTCTGATTCGTTAAAAGGTAATACCCGAACAGCTGAAGTGCGAACGGAGTCACTCGGAGTGTGCAAGCCGAACCCAGCTTAAATAATATGGCCATATTAGCCGGTTGGATAATTCATGTAGATAAATTGAATTGTATTTTTCTCATTATAGTAGAAATATAATAAGTTGAATTTTCAATGTCAGGGAGAAGCGTGGGCTTTTTAAGTTTTATTTATATTCCCAAAGAAATTAATAAAGTAGATATGTCCCTTATGTCTGAATTTGAGTAACTTGTATGTGCAATAAATAAATGAATATTTCATAAATAACTCTTTATTTTCATTTATAAATAGGTGAAAATTGAATTAACAAAGTCAAATAACTTGACCACAAACCTGCCTATAATACTGGGTAATTAGAATTTAATAAAAACTTGACACTTTCTGCTGTTTGCTCGTCTATTTGTGTCTGTCTCAGAAGAGTTTATTAATTGATTACAAGTATCACTACATTCATTACTTGTATTGCTTTCACTAGAATCTTGATTTCTTTTTCTTTTGGCAAGTTTTTCAGCACACATGGAATCTGTTTTTTGGCTGGGTTGATGGATCACTGTAGAAGAGGGCAAATTCTGGGATGGGACAGCTGTTTTTTTTCAATATCCAACCTCTACCTGTAAATAATAAAAACAATCAATATTTTCAAACAAAACATTTTGAAAATAGATAATAGGTACTTAATCAATGCCTGAGAGCAGGCCTAAAAGGAAGCTAGGGCACAAAAATATCCATATATGCTTGTTTACCTTAACACAAACTTCTTGCTTGAAATGCAGAGAAATACACTTTCGTGAATTTGGTGACTGGTTTGCCAATACGAAGTTTCAAAATCCAGGCTTTTCTTCTCGACACCAACTATTTTCCCATCTTCATTTCCAAATAAACCGGTGAGCCTGTTTCAAAGGGAAATATGTGGAAACTCAACCCTTTGTCAGCATCTTTTTTAGCCCAATATTTGCACTGAGGAACACAACAGTAGTGATTAGAGGTCATAATTGAATGTATCTGATATAATTTAGACTTAATAATTCACCAACACACTTTAAAAACTCAAAAACATCTCAAAAATATTCACACAAATACAATGATAAACAAGAATAATAACCGCTCGCCGCCAGCTGCGATTTCTATAAAATGCGACGTTGGCAAATTTACCATTTTCCTTTCCTTGATTCCATGTAGAATTGAGATCCCAAGAATTCCGATCAATGCCGATGCTAGCCGAACCCTGTCGGGCGACCGCCCATTAGGACGTTCGCGCTTTAGGACAAAATATCTTTAGGACTTTTTCCGCCATCTCTTTATCTCTAACAGTTTTCGAGAAAAAAAATATTTCGGTTTTTGTCATAAGAAACAATGTGTTGGAAAGAGACCTTTCTCAGTTTCCTTACAGATATAAAGTCCTTTTCTTACACATTGCTTCTTATGAAAAAAACCGAAATAATTTTTTTTCTCGAAAACTGTTAGAAATAAACCTATTGAACTTTATATCATCGAAATCAGAAAAAGCAGAGGTTTCTAATGAGCTATTAATATATAGGTTGTCCTATTGAAAAAAACCAGACTTTGGTCAATATCTCAGCGTTGGGATCAACTAGAAAAAAACTGAGAGCCTCGCTGAATTCTGCTTGAAAAAGTGCTTCAAGAAAGTTTTTACGGAAATCAATAATTTTCATAAACAAAAAAGTTATGATGGTTTCACATTAGCGCTCAAAATCAAGAATCGCCCTCTAGCGGCTAAACGGTTGAAGATATCAAAAAGCGGTTTGCACCAATCAAAATTTCATGAATTTTGAGCCATTTGAGCATTTTTTTCTATCTCTAAAAATAAAGGGTGTTTCCATAAGGAAGTGTCCAAATTGGCCCACCCTGTACAGTGTGTCCCGCTTAAGGACTGACCACGCTTCTAAAATTTTTATTTTTCAACCGATTCAATTCATTTTTTTTTTTGTCTTGTAGCTACTCGAATTTGGCACTTATAAGGCTCATAATTTTATTTCTACGGCTGCACTAATTTACAGGGTGTCCACATTTATAGGCTCAAATTTCAATAAGTACTATTAGGGATTTTTTTAGAAAAAATCTGATAGCAGATTCTTGTTTAGAATGGTCTAAAACCCTAATGTACGAATTTTTGTTCCAATATGATACAGGGTGATCACAACAAATTTTTAAAATTTAATAGATCAAACCGTAAAAATTTTATATTTTGAGACAAGCTTACTACAAGTTTTGGTTAAGGATGCTCTAAAACTATGTTGTATCAAGTTTTGTTGTTCTCGAGGCCTCAAAATATGAAATTTTTCCGTTTTGGTTCATTAAATTTTGAAAATTTGTTGTGATCCTATTGGAACAAAAATTCGTATATTAGGGTTTTAGACCATTCTAAACAAGAATCTGCTATCAGATTTTTTCTAAAAAAATCCCTAATAGTACTTATTGAAATTTGAGCCTATAAATGTGGACACCCTGTAAACCAGTGCAGCCGTAGAAATAAAATTATGAGCCTTATAAGTGCCAAATTCGAGTAGCTACAAGACAAAAAAAAATGAATTGAATCGGTTGAAAAATAAAAATTTTAGAAGGGTGGTCAGTCCTTACTATGTCGTCTCATGTGCCTTATTTCTCCCGTTCCAGGGATTGAAAAAGGAAAAATAAAGTTCCGAAACGTCGCCGAAAGCTAAGTAGTTTCTTTTGGTTACCTCCCCGTCCTTAAACCCAAGAAATTTCTACCATAACAATAATAACTGTTAAATATAGTTACTTCTTGGTATTGTGACGACTAGAAAATTCGGGCATAGAATTTGACCGCACAATAGACCAGTGAATTCGAGACGAATGGAAGCAAATTATCTAGATCATTCTAGAACCAAGAACTTACTATAGAACAGAGTCGCCCTTTGAGGGAGGCCAGTGATAAATTTAACTCAAGTGTGTTTGTGTTAGACACAGAAGCTTCGCAAAGTGTAATAGGAGCTGTTCTCTCTAAACACACAATAAAGCGAAGTAATTCAAATATTTTAGTAAATACCTTGGAAATGCGGAAAGAAATTATTGTGTCACCCAATAGGAGTCTCTAGCCAGATAAGAGCTACCGAAACTGATACTCATAATGACGACGACATTAACAAAGAAGAAAGTTTTGTATGACTAAGAACACAAACAATGAAATAGATGGTAAAAAATTTCCAGCTCGAGTCAAAGGTAACAAGTTACTGGTTTCGATAGGATTTGTTGTGTCCACTCGTAAATGGATGGATGGGAAAAGTCTAGTATGTCAGTGCCATAGGCCATGGTGGAAGAGTGCTACATGAATTGCACAGTAGTTGAAGACCAAAGTAGTGGCCACTTTGGAAGTAAATAGGACATTATCTACACAAAAAAAACTTTCGCTTCATGATATACTAGTTCGCTATGACCAGACTAGAAGCTGACCTTACATGGTTCACTTGCTTACACTGTTCGTAGATAATCTATAGTGTAAAATAATTCTATTAGATGTGATTTTCATGAAACCGATGAACCTCTTGGAAGGTGACTGATTTTGATTAACTGCAGGACTTGCCCTGTGGTTTTAGCTAGGAGAAAATATGTGTTTTTTTTGTTCTACCTCGCTGATACAAACTGTAGAGTTTAGGAAATGCAGTGCCTCAAATAATCCAGTAGAAAACTAGCAGTATTATTTACTTAGTTTAAAATTACTTACAAACCTCTTCATGAAATATTACTAGGGTATGCTCAATTTAAAAAAAAAAAAATTGCTCCAATGTTAACCTGTTTGTATGTCTAATACTTAACCACAAATATACTAACAATAATTAGATTGCATGAGTCGCTTTGCATGATTGCTCGTTGCTTGCTGAGCTTGTTTTTTGGCACAAACTTGAAGTAAAATCAAAAATTAATTATTATTTTTCCAAAATAACAGGGTACCAGCGTACTATCTCCAGTAATACCAATTCTATTGGTAGTACTACCAGCTTTTATAATCTACCAAAAATCGGAACAGGCCCTGTATCAGACTCATCCAGTGTTGTACATTTTCACGTTCGGATTGGTAGCGGCCAAAGTTACAAACAGATTAGTGGTGAGGAATAGTTGATTTGTTTGCAATGAGCAGATTTTCATAAGAATTTTTTTCAGGTGGCGCACATGACGAAGAGTGAAATGGAAATGTGGGATTATTCCATGATCGGGCCTACCATGTTGTTCTTTAACCAGTATTTTAACACATTTATTAATGAATATATTGTTCTATGGTTAGCTTTGGTGAGACTTTTCATTTTAGTATTTCTTATGTTTACTTTAACTACAATTTTTTTCTAGGTATGGGTAACTCTAGATCTTCTCATATATTGCTACAGAGTATGTCACGAAATTTGTGCGTATCTAAGAGTGGAACTATTCCGAATACCTTATCCTGGGGGACCCTTAAAAGTAGTGCAATCGCCAGTTCTTTCGGAAAAAAACGGTACGAAATCCCATAGCAAAATTAAAACTCGGAGTAGCACGAAAAACGTCAAATAACCATCTTGCACTTTACTGGCTAGTGTCGAATTTGCCAAAAGTAGAATTAATTATTGTTAATAATGGTAGAGAGATTTGTACTAAATTTTATTTTCTTTTCATAGCTTATGGTTTTATGCTTAAATCTAGTTAATGGTGACTGATGTACTTACTGTACAGGGTAGGTTCCTTATTTGTAATAATTAGTGCGGCTTCTGCAACTTAAACAGAAAAAATTAACTAACAAAAACTTGCCCCACAATAATTAATATGAAGAACCCAACATACTTAATAGAGGGTAATGTAAATGCATCATTAAACTTAAATAGGCTTTAAGTTGTAGAAGTCGCACTAATCATAAGGAACAGACCCTGTACATAGCTAAATTTTCACAGTCTCTCTACATAACTATCATTATTTAAACGCACAATATTGTATCATTTCTCGTCATTCATCCAATAACAATATTTATTATAACAAAAATAATTGTTGGTAGACAAATATTATCGGTGTGTGTGATACTACTTTTTTCTTTTGTCAATTTTCAGTGACATTATATTGTTAATACTATTGTACAGTTTGATATAAAAACAAATTCCTAAATCAATTTTTCTTTAATTTCTTCCAACCATTTCCACCATGATCGGAACACATCCATCATTTTTCAGATGAAGACGTGATGGCTGCACTCCTACGCAAAGAAGAACTGTGATGAGAGCTTTATCGAATGATTTGATAATTATTAATAATATAAATTAAATTGTGAATATTTGAATCGAATAAATGTTTATTTATGTATTTTTCAATAAATGTTTTTGATAATTTTTTTTTCAATTTATAAAAATTATGTCACTACAGGGGAAATTAAAATAAAGTTTTAGCGTATAGGAAATGGATTTGGAAGAGGACTATTTTATTTTGAACGGAATCTGGATTATAGTCTATCGATAGTCAAATGAGTCAGTAAAAATAATAATATTCCTTTGGCCGTCGGCGTTTTCTTTATGAAGCACTGGCGGAGTAAGATAAATTTATTAAAACAGTTTTATACAGGGTGTCACGAAAGGTTTGTTACAAACTTCTAGGGATGGTAGATCTCATAAAAATAAAACTTTTTTCTTGATAAACATGTGTCCGGAAATGCTTCGTTTTTGAGATATACAGAGTGTCCCAAATTTGAGCCTCATCATTGGGATCTCGGTAACCGTAAGAGATACGGGGTCGATTAAATTATGGCAAAGTTGCGCAATTTTATGACCAATAGAATGCCGTTTTGAAACTAGAAAGATTCCGAATACTTCCGGAGATATTCGGAAAAAACCAAAATTTTGGAAAATAGTTTTTTTTTTCCCGGGCTTATTTGAAGAGCAATTTTAAAATCAATGTCACTCCATCATTGTCACTTCTTTCCCTTTAGAAGATGGTGGTACCAAATTTAAAATTCGACGTTTCGTCTCTCGTGAAAACCGCAGCCCTATATTCGAAATAGTCTCCGAGAAAATTCCATATGAAGATACAGGAACTTGTGATGTCACAACCGCCGAAATCGGAATCTTCTGTTCGTTCAGTCGTCAGTGAACCGTACCCTATACTTTGAGTCGTTTCAATTCGCCGTAGGAGATAATTGTCTTTTGTTTTGGGAAATTTTTACACGTGCTAATAATGTCCCTGATAATCCAGTGTGACGTCACAAACAACTATTTGTAACTTTAAACCGCCCTAACTCGAAAACGGACCATCGTAGCAAAATGCAGTTTCAGTATTTATTCTTAGATTTTCTTTGTACTAAAACTTTCATTTTTGGGTCACACCCCCTTTAAGCTGCGTAGGTATTATTGGGGGTATTATTTTAGCGACCTTGCTTCTTCTAAAATAATATGTAATAATTGGTTAGTGGAGAAAACTTTCTAAATATTCTATTTATTACCTTATAGTATTTCGATAACTATAACAAAGTGGCGACAAGAAAAAAAAAATAATATCAAAGTTCGAAAAAAAGAATAAGTGCATACAAAAAAAACTTTAGTCATCATTACTTTCTCTAAAAAACACTTTTTCATTCTTATATTGAAATCAAATCCATGAAAAAACTGTTTTGCAATAAAAAAAATTAATAAGTAAGTAAATTATTTCATAACATACAGGGTGTCCCACGGTGGATGGCGTATTAGACGTTTATGGAGAACTAAAAAGCGAATCATTTTGAAAATTTGGCAACCGGGATAAACGACCATGATCTACACTTTAAAAATATTTTTGACCATGCGGTGTTGCCGCTTCTACTCTAAACTAGTGGCAACATCACTATTTTAAATGGAACATATTGGAAGGTATGGTTTAAATGAAACACAGATGACGTTTTGTATTTAATTTAATTTTGAAGCCACGGCCGTATTTGTACGTTTTACTCAACGACTTTCATATATCTAACTCAACTTTTTCGTGTTGGAATCTTGTCATCATAAACAGTGCATATTAAGTTGTTTATATAAACAAACGATAATATAAAGAAAATAAATCATTCAGCTTGTTTATCAAATTCCATCTACATTTAACTAAACGAATATAATATTTTGTATTTGAAAACCAACATACCCCCTCAAAAATATATGAGTTTGAGTTATCTATTTTACGGCTTAAGGGGAAACAACTGATGATCCAACATTTGTTGTATAGGTCAAGGAAAACCCCACAAAAACCTGACCAGATCATGAACTCTTACATCTAATAAATCAATAATGAATAACAAGAACAATAACAAATTTTATCACTAATTTACAATTTGAACTTTTTTAACAATACCATAACATTATTATTTTAATTATAACTTATAACCTAAAATTCCTACTTTTCTAATTTTCTTGTAGTCCTATTTTTTCTCTCAATTCCTTGAACTGAGGAGATGCCAATGGTTTTGTCAACAAATCAGCTTCTTGGTGACCTGTGGACAAATATTCTAAACGGACAATCTTATTTTCAACTTGCTCTCTTGTGAAATGGTATTTAATGTCAATATGTTTTGAACGTCTATGATTTGTTGGATTTTTTGCCATTGCTATACAACTTTGATTGTCTTCATATAAAATGATTGGATCAAACATATTGACATTCAGACTAACTAACAAAGATTTAAGCCATAAAGTTTCCTTCACAGCTTCAAACACAGCCATGTATTCTGCCTCAGTTGATGAAGTTGCAACTGAGTTTTGTCGCCTTGTTATCCAAATCACAATATTATTGAATAATTTAAATAAATAGCCTGTTGAACTGCGGCGATCCACATCATCATTTGCCCAATCAGCATCAACATACCCTGTTAGTATTTGTTCGTTATTTTGATAACGTTTATATACCAATTTTAAATTTAACGTTCCTTTTACATATCTTAATACCCGTTTTAAACATAGCCATAGTTCTTTATTACATTTAGTTTGATATCTACTTAGAATATTTACTGCTGTACACAAATCTGGACGTGTACATAACATTGCGTACATTAAACAGCCAATTAAATTTTGACAGGGTGCATCATAAAAATTATCCTCTGAATTTAATGCTGAATAATTTAATTTTACAGGTAATGGTGTGCTGACTGGGTTGCAATCACTCATATTAAATTTTTTCAATACTGATTCCAAATATGAGGTTTGATCAAATGAGATTTCAGAACTTGACCTATTTATTCTTATGCCTAGAAAATAATTTATTTCTTTCAAGTCACTCATCTCAAACTGTTTCAATAAAAACCTTTTAATATTATTCATTGTATTAATTTCTTTAGTTGCTATTACTAAATCATCCACATATAAAATTATGTATATATTTTTATCAACGTCGCCTCTGTTCAAGAAATATAAACAATTATCCGCTACTGAATTGACAAATCCTTTTTCAATCAATACGGTATTAAAGCACTCGTACCAGCATCGAGCCGATTGCTTCAAACCATATAAGGATTTATTTAATTTACACACTAGATTATTTTTGTGTGTTATAACACCCTCAGGCACCTTCATATAAATGTTTTCCTTTAATTTGCCATTAAGAAATGCTGTCTTAACATCCATTTGATGAATTAACAGCTCATATTGATTCGCAAATGCAATCATGCATCTGAATGTACTAATACGTGCAACTGGTGCGAACGTTTCGTCGTAATCCAAAATTTTTCTCTGGCTAAAACCGCGCGCTACCAAGCGAGCTTTATATTTAACCCAATTTGCGTTAGTATTGCCTTTTACTGTAAACACCCATTTACAATCGACAATATTTGCATTACATGGCTTTTGTACTAAAGTCCAAGTTTTATTTCGCTCTAATGATTTCAACTCATCCTTAATTGCTGCTTCCCAGTCAATTCTGGATGCACTTTTTGCTACATCTTGATAACATTTAGGAATGTCATTTTCAAATATTTGACCTATCAAATAATTATTAATATCAGAATTATCTTCTCTATAAGAGATTATTGGTTTCGCTTTTAGTCTTTCACTTCTTCTCACTTCCTGGTTCCTATTATTTAATTTCCTCAAATTGTTATTTGAGGTATACGGACTTTCACTATCACTGTCCGAGCTTGGACTTTTATGTTCAGGGACATCCTTTATGGAGGATGTTTGACTTGGAGTGCAATTTTCAGGGACAACTTTTTCAATAAGTGTTTGCTTGCACTTCTTTGGCTCCGTTTGACCATCAGGAATGACTTTATCTACAGATTCACTATCAACACTTTCTGTTGATAAATTATCTGTACCTTCCCTAATAACACCGATCTCCCAGAAACATCCTATTTATGTACCATTAAGGTCCTTATGTTTCCGACATAAATGGTACATCGCTGCGATGTTTGTAATGTAACATCTCTAGGATGATTGTCCTGAAATGTTTTAGAAACGTCCTTTCGAAAATATCTATCGACAAAAAGATTTTTTGTTCTCAAAATTAGATACTTAAGTATTACAGCTAAAAAATGGCTAACATTATTTTACAAAACTAGGTAGGACCTCAGACCGGTAGGACCCAGTATTAAATTTGCCAATTTTGTGTGATTTCTGAAAATGTCTCTAGCACACACACAAACTAATTTCAAATTCCATAATATACCTGTAATGTATATAGATAAGGAACTTAATATTAATTTTGTATTGTAACAACAGCAAAATTTAATTTTTCATTCAACTTGGAATAAAATAAAATATGTATTGATAAAAGTCTTCTCTCTTTCCAACTTTCAAACATCGTGAATATTCGTGAAGCCGAAGTGTATGGCGCAGGCGCGTGCTCGGGCATTTGTACTTGTACCTCTGCACGCGGCCACGTCGGCGCCGCAGCCAGCGCAGACGGGCAGAATCAGTCGAACGGGTTGTTCTGTGTGCTTCGCTTGTGTTGTTGGGCGGAATTTTATTTCGTAATGGCGTCGTGCTGTGTGGAGGATTTGTCAATTTGTGGTCTTTCGCTACACCTAGTTGTGCCATTTTGTGTTCGAAAGGATCTCTGCGACCTACCAGTGCTTATTAGTTGGTGAGAAAGATTATTTGTTGAAAGATAACGTCGCATAACAATCAATTGTTTAGTTTATTTAATTTCAATATGGCGTCGGTTAGGAAATTTCTAACTTTTCTGATAAATAGCCCCTAAAAACCCGAACTTCATTCTTCATTAGGTAAGAGAAAATAACCAATAATTATTTTTTGTTTTCATAGTTGATTACATTCTAGGTGTGCAAGTTGAATTGTACTTCAAGAACTTTGGATTTTGGTTCTGTGGTTGTTTTGGTTAGTTAATGGTACCTTTATGAAATTGGAGCACCAAAAAAAAAAGAAAACGCCGAACTCCCCCACTACAACATGCTGCCCACTGCCAAACTATGGTTT